TGTAACCAATCACTGAGCGATACACTTGCAAACATATGTATAAAAAGGTACCCAAAGGCAGAAACCGGTGGTGCTTGCTTTGCAAACGATTGCCAAGCACCCCTCTCTGCGCAGACTGGAAACAATAAAGATTAAAGTTGGATCCTCCACCCCTGTGCGTTCATTGGCAATAGCGCACCGGGCACGAACTCACACTGTCCGTTGGGGACAACATACAAGATTATGATCGGTCTATTGCTTGCTTTCAAGGACCACTCATCATAATCCTAGGATATACTGCATGAGTGAGCTTGTCTTCATATTCTCCTTATCAGCAAAGGTATATAAAGCATTATTTTGGTTTTGGATACAAAATAGCTGTACAGCTAAAAAGTGTGTTTTGGGTTCTTTTTCCTGCAGGTGTCGGAAGCCACCAAGTCAAATCAATATTACGCTAAAAGGTAGCCGTTTACAAGGAAATATTGAGCTAGGGAGGGTCTAGTCAGAACATACTTTCGTGTCTGCAGGCATCCTCTCTGCCGCTCTAGCAGAAGCAGCAATTCTCCTTTCCATAGAACAGGGGAAAAGCTTCACCCTCATGAGACTTCTTGTGCACCCCACACAGAACAAACTTTTGAAAACATTAAAAGACCTAGCAACAAGCTGCAGAACTAAGCCCCAAGTGTTAATATAGAGATCCCCAGAGAACAAGGAAAACATGAGCACAATAAATCTCAGTAGAATTTAGTAGAAACAAGAGAAGTGATTTGATTTGTGCCTTCTTCCCCCCAGCGGTTTTACAGACATTCACAACTTTTGAGCAAAGTTTTAAAAGCTATGAAGGCTTAAAGCTAAAACTAAATTCACCATACTAGACTAGTAATGTTACCCAATTAACCTCAATGACTGAAAAGCAATGCTGAAAGCAGCAAATTTATAGAACTGATCTTTTAACAGAAGTATCAAAATGCATACTACAATTAGTTTATAATGCTGTAAGTGGTAATAAGATAAAATATATATGTTTGCATTAATACAGTTACATCTTACAGGTTAACAATGTAAGGTATAACCCCTTTACAGGCATAAGCCAACTGACAGCAGTTAGATGCCCTTGGGCAAGTTCAATAAACTGACTACTTCTGAGTCTTTTGTCTTCTGAAGTACTTAACAAGCACAGCAGAAAAAGGATGGATCACTGATCTAATTGAAAGCTACCCTTTGAATTTTTCAGCATGCTGACTTCACTTCCATTGTTCTCTTATTGAATGGAGAAATACAGTAAACCAAACTAAATAGTGTGAAAAAGTACTCAGCTGATCTTGGTGATAAAAACCCAATTTGAGATGAAACTGAAGTATTCTCACCTACTTTCACCTTTCACATAATTATGGTCAATATTCCCCAATTTAAAAAAGTATAAAAGTGTACTACACAATAATTTTGCATTGGTACTGTACACTAATCATTAACATTGCCTCCAAGAAAATACTAATTGACTGCAGACTGAAAAAGTACACATTATGCGCAAATTAGCCTCAATGAAAACAAACGAGAGAGATGGAAAAAAACCCGATTCAGAATGCCAGACTGCAAAGATATCTATACTTTGCATATTATCCCAACTGATGATATTCAATTTTTTCCATGGACTGTAACATAAAGCTAAATTTCAGACCCAAATACAATACTCTCTTATGCAGGCATGTACCACCAACTCTATTAAACCTTGTCACAAAAGTATCATTTTGTGAAACTTTTGTGACTTTTAGATTCTATTTCCCCTTGCCCTTCCAAATATTCTCAGAAGGGATCTGTTGCAACACTTTCTGTTCTGTTGTAACTGCATTTTGCCCAGGAAGGCACATGAACTATTCAAACCTCTTCCCCCGCCCCACCCCACACACCCTAAAAAGCTCAGTTGCAAAACGCCAAGATGACTAGCAACTAATGCCAAGAGGAAAACAATGATCTTCCCCTCTCACCTTTTAGCCATAGCAGTGATGGGGGGTTGTGTTAAATATTACATGTCTTTATTTGGCAATGTGCTACCACTGAAATGCCTGAAATAGATCCTAGCTGACAGGGTTAGTCCCATACCCATTCACCAGCAAATCAAAGCTAAATTAATACTGGGCACCTTGAACAGCAGTGCTACATAGACAGTCAAAAACCACAAAGCTGAACCTATTTAATGTTCTCAGGTTTATCTAAACTGTGTATATTGAACCAATAAGCAAGTGAACAGACATTCATTTTTGGGCATTCATACATGTTTGCACTGCCATGCCGGGCACTTATAAAAGAGTGCCTGGTGTTACAGTGCTAGCAGTTGTATAAGTGGCAAAATGTGCATCAGCCCTGAGAAAATGGTGGTGGTGGCTTGCTTTTGAACTAAAACAGAGGGGTTTTACTTCAAAAAGCGCACCACCATTATTATTTTCTGCTCATTGATGCACATTTTGCTACTTATACAACTACAAGCAAAGCAGTGTGGTGTGTGTCAGCTCGCATGCGGAGTAGATTATTAACTGATCTGCTCCAACCCGCTGGATCTCCAGCACATTGCAGGATGAAAACGTATGTGTATAAATGCTCTCCGATTCCAAAAAATGCAGCCACATGCCTGCAGTGGCCCAGGCCAGAAACCAGAGGTGCTAGAACATGCCTCCCTGCTCAGCTCAAGCAGACAGCTTGGGCCAAGGCTAGCCCACCCACCCTACAAAGGGAGAGGGTAAATGAGAGAACAGGTTTGCATGGGAGGTGCAAGGAATTCATGGGATGCTGGGGCACTGAGTTCACTTGAATCTGGAGGGGATCTGGGTCAGAAGTTCAATAAACCAATTTAGCCTAAAATCAATTAAGTCTGATATTGTATCCATCCAGATTTATCTTAAACCAGTTTCAGCCACTTTGAAAGCAGTTCATGTGCATTGATTATCTCATAAGTTGCTGCGTTACAGCAGTGGTCTCCAAACTTTTTGAAGTGAAAAAACATGGTTTGAAGTAAAGGGCAAAGCAGGATCTACAGTGCCCCCTCCACCCAGCAGGTCAGTCTGGGAGATGACAGTGGAAGAGGGGGCCAATCAAGGCCCCCCACAGTAAGGGAGGGAGCGGGTCAGGAGTGAGTAGGGCCAGACAGGCCATGCCAGGGGAGGTCAGAGCCTGGGCATATCATCCAGGCACATGGGGGGCTCCCACCGCTGCACACACTCTGGCAGAGGCCCAGGGGGTACATGGCCCCCGCTCTATACATGGGGCGAGGTGGCTGCCACTGCACACTGGGCTTTGCGCCCTGAGCTGCACCAGGGCATGGGACTCAAAGCACAGCACACAGCAGCAGCAGACACCTCACCCTGCGCACAGATGGGGGGGGTGGCGGCACGTGGCCCCCAGGCCTCCGCCAGGGTATGTGCAGCAGCAGAGGACCCCCACACACCTGGACAAGCCACCTGGGCTACAACTCTCCCCTGACCCAGCCTGGCAGCAGGGGGCACAGCTCCACTGAGCCATGTGCATCCCCCTGCTCCTATGTCCTGTAGCTCCTGGATTGTGTCCCACCACTCCTGATTGCAGAGCCCCTGACAACAGTTGATCCAAGTCTGGGGAAGCTAGCCTCCCCCCCACCAACTTAGACTGTCAGGGGCTCCCCCATCAACCAGGCAATTGGGATAGACCAGTTGGTGACCACTGCATTACATATTTGAACCAGTTTCTGATCACTTACACTGGTTTGTGCACAATTTCTGTCCCTAGCCCAGGAGGGGATGATACCTTGACTGGGAACAAGGAAATGAATAAGTTGTTCAGGGGTCTTCAAAAGGAGAAAGGGGATACCACTATCAGTTAAGATTGGTTATGTTTGCATAAGTCTTTGTAATATATTACATTTTACAATAGTTTGTCCTCAATTAAGCAACAAGCTATTACCTATTTTAAGTCTGATCTGACATGTTTAGTTCAAACAATTTACTCCTCAGCTTTTAGCCATAAACACTATAGCTATTCACCAACAGTTTTTGATTTCCAAATGCCACTTCATAAGCAACAGAACAGCAAGTTAACACCATAAATACTATACCACTATACTAACACCATAAATAGGCTAACCTAGACAAAGAAGTGGTAGTGCCCCTTCTGTCAACAAGCTGATGGGTTCAGATTCCCCAGTGCTGCAATGGAACAAAAGGGAGAGGCATATGCAAAGTGTACAACAGGCATTTTTTCCTTTTTTATCCTTTTCTCTGTATGGTACTTTGGGGCGAAGAAATACTTCATTTTGAATCCACTGCTGTCAAAGGTTCCCAGGGTGAAAAGGTTTTCAAAAGAACCTCTCAGTTGGATCTCCAACAGTTGAAGTCTGCAGATCCAGTCTTAGAATGGTTCAAATGGAATTCAACTCAAAAGGACAGTAAGCCTGACCTCAGCATCACCTATGGAGATATGCACTCATTAACTTAAAAAAACTGATCTAAATCAAAACTTTTCACCGCTTATGGAAAAAGTAGCAAGTAAAGAAAGTGAGGGTTTTGTTTGTTCTTTAAAAAGTCAATATAAAAAAAATAATGTTTTATATAATGTTTGATGGGGTGTAAGAGTCATACCACAGAACAATCTGTAGATATCATCTTCCATTTTTTATTTTCTTCAGTTCTTGTTTATTTTTAAATCATTTAACAACCAACTTATTTTTGCTAAGGCACAGATCAGTGGCTCTTGGACATCAGTAAATCATGCAGCATTTGGTTACATCAAGATTTTGGTTTGAAACTCAAAGGGTTAGGAAGTCTGGATACCTCTAAACTAGGTCACCTCAAATTGCTACTATATTTTTGGAAGTAAAAGACATTTATTCCATTAATAGTTATAACAGGTAACCATTTATTACCCTTTTGTGCCAGCAGATTTGCTTTCAACATTAAGTTAACCGCACAAGTTAAATTTAATATTGGTAAGTTAGAATCAACAAAATGGTAGTCAAAAAGTACTGAACAGTCTCTGTAAAGGAGGTGGAGACTTACTGTGTAGGTGATTGCTGCCAACATACCAATCAAGGTCAAGGAACTAATGGAAAACGAAAGAGCAGCCAGGCCATCTGTAACATGAGAGCAGAAAAAACCTGCTTAAAATTCATATGCAAGGTAATACACTTTAACAGACTAAATCCACTGTGGCTGCAGAAGTCAAGGCTTTAAAATAAAAAAAAAAAAAAGTTTAAAAATAAAAATAAAAGCTTAAATAAATCAAGTAATTTGACTTTAGAGAAACAAGTTAGAACTGCATTTGCTTAACTAGAGCAGTGGTTCTCAACCTTTTTTGTACCGGGGATCCATTTGTAAACAAATCACCAGTCCCAACCCAGTGCCTCCTACCTCCAGACCTCCAGTGTGTTAGCCAGGAGGGGGCCCCCCATGCAGCCCCTTGCAGGCTGGAACTCCACCAGCTTGTAAGGGAAAAGCCATGGTTTCCCACATTTTTCTTCTTTAAAAGGAAAAAACACTTCTAATACGTTTGTTCACAACCCTTTCATACATTCTTGCAACTCATTTTTGCATCACAACATACTGAACTAGAGAACTAGCATGCAAGGCAATCCAAGTGAAGCTTATATAAACCATGTCTTTCAAAAAAGTGCAGTCATATCTGTGCTCCTTAAAATAAAAAAAATCTGTATAAAAAACCATTTAATCTACCTTTAGAAGCTTTTCCCCAGACTGATACCGCAGTGCCCCCCTCCAAAAAAAACAAAACAAAACACGAGAGCCCCCTATCCCCTACCCAAATCACACCATAGGGCCTCCCTGTATGTGTAAGGTATAAAAAACCCACAAAACAACACGTGTCTGCCTCAAAGAGCTCATATTAAAAACATCTGATGGACCAAAGAGAGTTAAGTAACAATGCCCAGCAATAAATAAATATTTAGCAAACATCAGATAGAATCACATTCAGTAAGTCTACATCCTTCATTCATTACATTTTTTCCAAGAAATCACAATCTGGATAAGCCCAACATGAAAAAACAAAATGGTTGTCACTTAATAAAGTCAGATTGAACAGTTTTCAAAAAATTAGATAAACTTCCAACCCAAGACCCAGTATTTTTCTGCTGTATAAAATTTTGGCCAGAAAAAGCAATCGATTTGGACCAATTAACTGGAAGATGTTCTTTGTTTTTCCACACAGTCTCAATCTGTCATCTTCCCTCAATTGCCTTTGCTCTAGATTGAGCATGCCCTAAAAGGAAAGATTACACACTTGGGCTTAGATACCAAATCACTGCTTATGAGTTTTTAGTTCACCTAAGCATTTCACTTTAGATTATGAAGTTATGTTTCAGAACCTCACCTTTTCATGGAAAGGAATATCATTCTACAAACAGTATCCTCATACAAAATGCTTCTCCCGTTACTAACTGGATTCTTAGCAAGAGGAACCCATATTCTTTTCACAGAACACACACTTCTCCTAAAAGTAGAATTGACAGTAATGTCCTACACCAAAATATTGTCCATCTCTGGATAGAATTCTTGGTGAAATAAAAATTATGGATGGGCATGCCCTGTATTCAGTCCACAGTAAATTCACTTTCATCTTCTAATTGCTAGGAATTACCTGAATACAGAATAAATATTAATGAATGCCAACCAGAAACTCTACTGGCCAGGTCAGAAAGCAACTGCAGCAGACGCAACAGTCTTATTTGTTCAAAGGGAAGCAAGAACTCAATTGGGACAATGCCTCCCTAAAAGCAAAACTATGTAAGATACCATCTTACTTTTGAGGCACCAGAACCCATGGCAGCTCCATTCTCTCCTCTTCAGTGAGCTCAAAGATGAACTACTAGGAGAAGCCAAACTCAGGCAGCTGGGAAGAAGAGAAACTGAAGCAGCAACCAACAGATTCTAAAAAGTTTCATCAATTTATCATACACCACACCACAAAAAAACAAAAGCCAAATACCAACTTTCCCTTTATTTTCATCTCTTCCTGGCTAGTCCCCTTCCACAATACTGCACAAGAGGGAAAAAAACATTTCCAAACATTTTGCTCATTATATCCCTTCCTTCCAATGTACTGCTTTAGAAGTTTGGATTATAAACTCTTTGCAAAGACTGCCTCCCCAAAGTGCCTGGTACAACGGGGTACTGAGCACATCTTTACAAAGATATAAAAACAATCTTAAACCATCTGAAGGCTATTCTCCAAAAGCTAAGTTTGGCTTTAAGAGCTGCATTACAGATAACTAAGAATACAAGCCAGAATGGTAACTAAGACCCCTAGAGGGTTCTGCATCATTTTAAAATTTATAGCTTTTAAAAGTATAAGGACTTTAAAGTGTATAGACAGCCCTGTTCAATTCAGTTTTCAGTACTTTTGTGCCAGTACAGTTTAAGTAACAGTTACTGCTTAACTTAGGTAATGGATAAGAACAAAATGCCTTTTACATGTCAGTTGCTCTCTCGACAGCCTTATGGAATTCTATTTGCTTGCTGGCAGTCATCCATTCTCTGGATGAATCTCTCTTGGCTACATCTTCAGGTAAATTAAAGATAACTTCCCTTGTACTTTTTACAAGCTTCTCATAGAAGCATGAGGGACTTCATACCTCCTCTTGGTATCTGACAAAAAAAGAAGGTCTTGGGAGTTCAAGATTATATATTCCTCTTCTTCCAATCTTCATTACTAAACCAGAATGCCACATGCTCCTGTAGCTTGTCACTATAAGAAACTGCTGATCCACTCACCTTGGCCAGTCTTCAACACTCCGGGAAGGTATGGGGATGATACAGCATACCTGCCAGAAAAGGCTGACACCCACTGCATTACAGCAATGCTGCAACACAAACAGAACTACACAACACTACATTTACTCAAATCTAAAATAAGGTACACCCCCTGCCCCCAGCACGGAGAAAATACCCTTACCTTAGGTTCAAGTACAGACCAGGGAAGAAGTTGCTGCGATTCAAGATGGGGACTGGATGGCTCACATGGCAGGTAAGGGATGTATTCAGCAGGGAGGGGTACATAGAGAGAGCTGCTGTGGCCATAGCTCTGGCCACAGTCCCAGCCTGAGGCTGGAGCCAGAATTGCCATTACTGCCTGGGTGCCCCATGCCCCCAACCAAGCCAGGGCCAGAGTAACTAACAAAGATTTTTTTTCCCCCCAGTGGCAGAAGGGTGGGGAAGACAAGGGACATGGAGAAGGCAGCCTAGTCCCCAACCACAGTTTTCCCCCATTGCTATTTTGCCTGTGGCAATGTGGGGGTGGGGGGGGAAGGAAGAGGGATTAAATTAAAAAAAAAAAAAAAACAACCTTCCCATAACTAGGATTCTAGATGTGGAAAATTCAAAATTTAAACCCATTTATAGAAGTTTTCCCATGTCTACAATCTAGTAACTAATTGAAGGGTTGTCTTAACATTGAGAGTTGCCTTGGATTTAGATGAATATGGCATCTGTGAACAGCTTGTCATGAGTAGGCTTCGCTTGCAGCCTAGTGAACAAGATTAAGCAATCAGAGTCTAGCCTTCTGCTGGTAGAAAGTGGCATAACTGCCTATATTTTTGGAGTAGGTCTACCTTAGGATTGATTTTGTCGAGAAGAATACTGCCCACTACAAAAGTTCCCATCACACCTTAACTACATTTTCCATAGCAACAAGCAAACCTTACTACTAATTAATATGGGGGTGTAAAACAGAACGCCCTTACAAGCGTGTATTAAAAATGAAGTACTTCTAACCCTACAAAAATATGCATTTGCTATTCAGATGCATCTCGTCATACAGCATATAAAAGGACAACAGGGGTAGCCCAGTGGCTAACAGACAAGATATATCATTCAACAGCATGTTACCTGACCACCACCCACCTTTCATAGGTTTCCACAGACAGTAGCTAGTGTAAGAAGCATTACTCGTTCAACTTGAAATTTGCTGTTATGACATATCTTTGTATTTCTATGAAGTTTACATTCAAATTTATTTGTCCTCTTATGTTCAAATTATAGTTCCTAGAGCTAAACCTAATGAAACAAAAATTTGGGGGTTAATCCCATTAGAAGCTACACTCTATTATTGCACTGGATTCTCAAACTTTTTATGCTCAAGGCACCCTGGATAGAATCATAGCATCCCTTGGGAAAGGCAAGCTCTTATTTTTCTGCAGCTAAAAGTGGGGAGGGGAATAGATTCTTTTTTTCCCCTGTTACAAAGAACTCAAGATGACCAAAACTATGGATTTCTAATGGCATTTTTGGGGTTTAGCTTGTGAACCATGTTTGCAAATTTAAAAACAGTGAATACTATATGGCACCCCATGAAATTCTTGAAAGGATCTCAGAAATCAGTTCCCAATACCTACCACTGCCAGATGTCGCCTATGAAAGAAAAATCTCTTTGGGATACTGACAAGTCAGATACTGGCAATGCTGGTTTTAATGTACAGATTCTACTCAAGTGTCTTCCTCATCTTGGCTTAGTCTTAGCTGCAACAATCCAATAGTGTTAAAATTAAGCTAGTCATTGAACTCAAATTATGTTAGAAGGATAGGGAAGTATAAAAGTAAGCTAGGTAAGAGTCTCTCACTGAAGGACCATGGGCTATTTTAAAACAGTTCAAGTGTCTTGTTCAGTGCTCTGTGATGTCAATGTGGCCAACTACCTCTGTTTCCCCTCGAGGGTTGCCAAACCAAGAATTTACTGGCAATCTGAAAACTTTTTACTGACATTCAAGCTTCTCTACTAGCACATTTTACTGACACATTATGTACAATGTAGGCCTTCTGGTAGCATCAGACAATAGTTAAAAAGGTCCAGGTTTAAAGTTGGAATTTTGACGTTAAACATAGTAAACAGTTTGGTTGTCAGTAAAGATTTCAGACTGTCAGTAAAAACAGTTTTCTTGGATGCTTCTCAACTGCAGCTTGACTGCAATGCTTCTCAACTGCAGCAGTGGTTTTACAGCATGCTTGTCCCACTCCAGGGGTCCCCTACTTATCTCCAAACTTGATGCCCGTGATGGTACTGTGCTGTCCCCCCCCCGTCTTGACCCTAGTCCTCATTCCCACATGGACCTCCAACAATTCTCTT